TATAACCTATGACCAGAATATATAAAGAACTCTTACAGCTCATTAACAGACACCCCAATTAAAAAGTAGACACAAGAAGATGATAAATAGCCAGTACAGCACAAGGAAAGGCGTGCGACACTAGAATCAGAAAAGTACTAATCAGTACAATAACAAGATCGTATTAGACACTCGTTATTTTTGGCTTTTCTCTCACATAAGCAAGAAGGTAGAGCTGGCATTTTCTCCTAACCCCCGCCTCAACTGAACACCACGAGTTTCTATAAATAGCTTGCTTTCATTAGGCTCTGAATTATGTTCTAATCTCCTTTCCTATTTCCTCCCTGACACCTGAATTATCTCCCAGTACTGGTTTCTAATTTCTTCACAGATTCGGAGACCGGTGGCAGGGACCGGTTTCTCTTCCCTCACAGCACCAAGGGCTCCGCCTCCTCCATGTCAGCGACCCTTAGCTAGGCTCTGCGGTGAGTAGAGAGTGTGAGATCAAAGCGACTCCAGTTTGCTAAAAGCCACTATTCCCCTAGCCTCTATTATTAATGGTTGAAATGTGCTTGCTCTGGGACAAAAGACACACTCTGTAACAAAACAAAGTTCTTAAGTTAATTGCTCAACCATCTGTTTGCCCAGGAAATAAACGGTCTGGGCCCCCTATTTGTAAAACAGTCTGTCAATGTGCCGACCATCAGTACATAATGGTCGTGGCCATTAGCCATTGTGTCTACTGACTGCCAGTACTTGACAGTCAGCCACTAACCTTTGTCCCTCTTTTCCCTCCTAAAACCTATACGTAATCACCCCTCAACCCCCAATGGGCCTAGCCAATCAGAAGTATACACTTCATGCTTGCTAAATGCCAACCAATCACGTGATTGCTAAATGGAAAATCCCCTAACCTTGCTGTAACTTTAGTAAAAACCCCCGCTAATTTGAAATTCGGGGCTCTCAATTCTGATCCGCTGCGTCGGTGATGGTTGGGAGCCCCTGCTCGATCTTGAATAAACGACCCTCGTGTGCTTGCATCGGAAACGGCTTCCTGGTGGTCTTTGGGGACTTCGCGATCTGGGCACAACAAGAGGAGTTTTTTCTTACACAGTGAGTGGGATCAGTTAAAGTAAATCCAGACTTAAGTACACAAAGTCTTTATTTCAAAAGACTATTGCAGTAGGGAGAGGAATTACTGCAACAGAGGGCAGCATTTCAGTAGGAAAATGCCCTGGCCCACAGAACAAGCAACTTGAATATTGAGCAGAAAAGGGCTTTTTCTTATAAGGAGTAGAAAACAATGCTAGAAAAACACCTGGAGTGGGTAATGAGCAGGTGGCACAAGAGCTAGTCAGGGAAGTCTGAGTAGGGATGGAAACCTCTACAAACTGTGAGCTAAATAAACCTTTACCCCTTTTACTTTGGGTGTCGGGTATTTTGTCTCCACCACGGGAGCAGAGTGACTAAGACCTGGCCTCTCAGCCTCTCACCCACCCATCCCAACAGCAGGGACCAAGGGAGTTCCAGGGATCTGGGTTAGTCGTTTCTCTCTTTTGTCATTACGTATTCCGAGGATTATCATAAATGAATGCCAATTTTTTAAATGCTTTATGGCGATTTATCGACAGGACATATTCTGCTTTATTAATGCGTCAGCCATTCTTGGCTAACTACCATTTTTATTTTCTTGGTTCAAACACTACTTAGTCCTCATGCACTTCTTTTAATAAACTCATAGTCTGATTTGTTAATATTTTCTATATAATTTTATATTTATAGATGAGATTGTTTATAGCTTTTGTGTATGATACTTAAAATCTTGAATTTGAGTGCTACATTTTTCTGTTTTCAGAGGAAATATTTAAAAGAGGAATTATCCATGCCTTTGTGACTTGCTAGCGCTCGCCAGTATAATTCTGTTACTCGCTGGGCCTTGTTACTGCTCTTTGAGCTTCTTGTATGCGACAAGCGTCTGCCTCTGGCCTTGTGCAGGTTCTGTTACAGGTACCGAGGAGCAGCGTGGGGGGACAGGCGATGGTGCATGGTCTGCCCTGTGGTGACGAAGGACAGAGCAGGAGCACAGGGAGGGTGTGGGCAGTGGAGGAGGAGCCAGGAGGCTTGGGTGACGGACAGTCTCTCAGGGGTCACACCGGCACGAAAGCTCACATCGCTGAGGAAGCAGATCCCACCTCGGCTGGGAGGCAGATGCAGGGTGCAGAGAAGGCAGAGGGCAGGGCCTGGTGCAGTGAGGCTGGGCAGCCCGCTGTGCATAGCCATCACCATGTCGGGGACAGATGACAGCAGAGGGGATACCACTCAGTTCACTCTCCAGGAGATGAACAGGCATCTGAATCTTAAGCAGGGGACCACTTAACTACAAGTCTGGTAGGCATGGTGGTGCATGTCCCTAATCCCATTTTCTAGAAGCTGAAGCAGGAGGATCACAAGTTCAAGCCCATGCTGGGCAACTTAGCCAGACAAGCCCTGTCTCAAAAAAGAAAATAACGGGCCAGGATGTAGCTCAGTGGTTAGGCACTTACATACTATGTGCGAGGCTCTGGGTTCAATCCCCAGCAACGCCCACCAAAAAACCACAAAGATAGCTTTGTAAGTAAATACCCACCCTGCCTGGCATGTGTCTGGGGCATTGTGCATGTCTGATGTTACTCCGGCCCTTCCCGAGACGGTTATAGCCAGCTGCTGAGAGGGAAAACAAGGCAGCAGCCAGGACACTGGGCGCAGAGCACCAAGGGAGGGGAGGTCCTGCTCCTTCTCTCCATCTTTTCTCTCCTCCTCTGTCTCTCTGGTTTCTGGCCACAGTGACCGCTGGGGACCGGGCTTCGTGGCTGCTGAAGAAGCAGTGGTTTCCTCCAGGGTAGGGGGGCGACTTCTCTTCCCCGTTCCCGTCCTGTCTCCCCTCACACGTAGCAGCTTCTCAAGCCTTCTCTGGGCTCCTCCACACTTGCTCACCCGGCCTTCAGAGTAGTGGCCAGTAACTGTCCTGGCCTCCCACACTCCCTGGCCAGAGGCCTCAGTCCCAGAGAAGCTGAGATAGCACAGTTTTCTCATAGCTTCGCTCTGCCGAGCCCACTGCCCTGCTCTTTTGGTACCAAAAGTGGCAGCGGGAGCACAGAGCCCTGAGGATGGAGATCAGGATTTGTTCTCTGACGCACTGGATTAACATACATTATTGTCCCCATTGCTGTAGTAAACAACCGTCTATGATGATAAACATCACTTCAGTTATTACAGGAAGTTTACTTAGTTTATTAACTAGACCTAGACATGAGGTTCATTAAAATGAAAGTGAGATTTCTGAATATCCTTGGTCTACAGAGAATGATGTCTCAAGACTCATCTATTTTGAATATGTGAATTTCTAGGCCCTGTTTTATCCTAGGTACAATTTAAATTTTGTTTGTTTTAGCAGACAATCAGCTCCTTTGGATTCAGGCCACAAGCTCCAACCACTACACTGGAGCTGTGTTTCCAGTGTGAGTTCAGTTTTCAAAACCTTTGTGGGCTGTTTGCCGTCCCCTGTGTGCACTATGCAGAGGCCAGCGTGGGCTGTTGTGGTGTCTCTCAGAGCTCATTTTTCAAGGTTGGTTGGGGCGAGCTGTTTAGAGTACAGCCCCATACATGCAGCCTGGGGCAAGCAAGGGTCATGAACACCACAGGGTCAGGTGCCCAAGCTCCTGCCCTTCTCAGCCTCCCAGGACTCTCTTGTCCCTGGGGCTGACTCCTACACCCTCCAGCTGACCAGCTAGGGCTTCTGTTGCCTGTGTGCTGGACGCTGCTGTCTGCTGCAGCTACACCCAGGCCAAGCAACAGGCTGTAAGGAGGGGACTGAACCCAGTGCCTTCATACTGAGCTACATTCCAAGTTGTTTTATTGTTTGCTTAGGGATAGTCACTAAGTCACTAAGTTGCCGAGACTAGACACAAATTTGCAGTCCTCCTGCCTCAGCCTCCAAGAGCTCTTTTGTTCTTTTTGGTTCTCTCGAAACCTAATTGTGGCAGATTGTGGCAAGTGTAGCTCAGGGTATTATGGGGGGGCAGCCTTTGGAGGCAGAACCAGCTATAGTGCAGGAAACGTTTCAGGTCCACCTTTCCAATAGAGATGATCAGAGTTGGGAGGAGTAACTATGACTGATGATGCCAACACAAAGATCAGCAGTGAAGCTGGGAGTAGGGATACTGATGAAGAAGTAACTGAGGTAGTAGGAGTATGTTCTGATCTGGTTAGAATAGAGCAATCGAGCAATTAGAAAGATCAAAAAATGAATACACAGGGCTGGGGGGTTAGCTCAGTGGTGCCACCACCTGCCTTGCAAGCACAAGGTCCTGAGTTCGATCGCCGGTACCAGAAAAAAAAAAAGATGAATAAACAGAAAAGGAAGGAATTGATAATTCAGCAAACACATTTCATTGTGATGACAAGCAAATTAAGGAGAAGGATGAGGGGAAAGAATATTAAGGCTAGAAGAACACTAAGCTGGGTGGGGTGGGGCACACGTGTGATCCCAGCACTCTGGGAGGCTGAGGCAGAAGGACCACAAATTTGAACCCAACCTGGGCGACTTGGTGACTTAGCAAGAGCCTGTCTCAAAATAAAAATTAAAAAAGGGGCCGGATTTAGCTCAGTGGTTCTGCGGCCTGCCCCACAAGCACAAGGTCCCGAGTTAGACTCCCAGTACCAAAAAAAAAAAAAAGTAAAAAGGGCTGGGATGTAGCTCAGTGTGAAGGCCCTGGGTTCAATTCTCAGTACTGAAAAAAACCAAAAAAAACCAGAACTTCATAGTGTTTCTGTTTAATTATATTATGAATATCTGCCTTAATAATTTCATTCAGATAAAAAATTATGGTATATGATGGTTCAAAGCTGGTTGAAACACAGTTTTATAAGCTTACTGATCAAGAGTTAAAATAGACTAAAAAGAGCCAGGTGTGTAATGCACACTTAGAATCCCAAGACTAGGGAGGTAGGAGGATCTCCGTGAGTTCAAAGCCAGCCTGGGCTATGTAGCAAGACCCCATCTCAAAAAAATAATAATAATAAAATAAAATAGCTAAAAAGGTAATCCGTGTCATAGTGTATGGTTTCTAGCTGTTGGTAAGGCTCGCATCTAACCCTGTGCAGAATTCTGTTAGCACTGAGGCACCTCTCGGCTTGGCCCACGGTGTGCACTCTGCGAGTGTGTGGATGCCCGTGGCGCCACTTCTTCTCTTCAGCTGCGACTGCGCCATGCTGGTGAGGGCAGGTTCGTCGGCCCAGAGACAGGTCCCCTCGATCAGCAGCATTCTGCAAGCAAGAAGCAGCTTTGTGCTTTTCTTCTCGCTTATATGAATTAGCAGCCTTTATAAGACTCAAATCTCAGAATCTTTAGGGTTGAGAAGGAGAGAAACTGTGCAAGAGGTATTTCTCTTTCAATCTGGATGATGCTGCAACTATTGTGATATTTTTCAGTAACAAGATAACTTAAGAGTGTTCCCTGTACGAATCAGTGGATTTTCAGTCGGGAACCTCAGGTATCTACATGCAACTGTCGTCCAGTCTTGTCAGAATGGAGCAGCTTGTGGTGGGATAGGCCTGGCCTGCCTGGGCCACAGGAGGGGACAAGGAATTGCCTTGTGCTTCGTATAAAATACATAATATAGTTAATGTGTATAAGCAACAAGCTTCCTTTTTTAAGGCATTTTTACTTTGACACAGGTGTGTCCAACCAACAGGCTACAGGCTGATGCATGGAATTTCCCCCAGGCTGCTGTCCTTGTGCATGGCCCTGTGGTCCTGGACCACAGCAGTGCTGGATTTTATTCAGGCTACACTTTTTCATGGCTGAGGAACCAAAACCCACTAGGAAGACAGCCAGTAAGTATTGGAGGGGACACATGCCTGCATCCTCCAGCCATTCCACAAAATAAAACCCAAGCTCAGTAAACAGCTAGCACCAGGTGTCACTGGACAGGGTCCAAGTCCCCAAACTGAAGATGGGAATTGGGACTCACCACACCCATGCAACAGGTTGAAAGTTCGCTGACTTCCATCGCAGAAAAAGTATTTTCAAGATTCATCAGCAAGAGGAGTGAAGAGGTTTATTAGGCAAAATTAAAACAGTCCCCTCTCAGAGAATGGAGGACAAGCCTTGGGACAGAGATGCATCTTGGTCTGGGGTGGAGTTCCCATGGAGTCGGGTGTCCTCAAGGTGGGGGACCTAGGACTTCATTTCCGTGCCGGCCAGGCTAAGTTAGAAGGCTGACGTCTGTGTGTATCGCAGCTTCCAGATTTCTGTGGCAGGAAGTATAATTCATGGGAGAAAAGTTGAGCCCAGGTGCCTTAGGCCCTCACCCTGTTACAGCTCCTGAGGGTAGATTTTTACCTAGGGTTTGTAAAACAACATACACACAAAAAAGAATTAGAGATATATGTTCTGAAGGAGAGACAAAATCACTTTATTAGGAAAGGAAGGGAAAAGGGGAAACAAAATTACTTGATTGGAGAGAGGGAGAGAAATAAAGCGATAGATAGCTACTTTGTTGGAGTAAGTTAGGGAGCCCAGAGCCAGAACTCAAGGGGTCTTTGTTCGTAGCCTCTGATTACATGGCAAGAAACGGACCGTGTCCCTTGAGAGCTGTCGTAACTTCACTGGCTGTTCTGGGCTCTGAGACCTCTGACTCGGCCATGGCCCTCGCTGTTGCCCATGTATACATTCTGGAACAAGCACTTCTGCGGTCCCTTTGTGTTGTCCGGGTGTTTATCTTGTGAGACTTGCAGCACAATTACATTTAAGGCTGAGTTAGTAAAAAGGATACCTGTGCATTTTAGTGTATTAATATGGTGAGAAAATAACAAAATATGTATGTACTTATACAGAGGTGCAGGAATTGAGCCTTGCCCTTAAGTGAGCCAGGAGCCTCATCAGCTCTGTTTGTTTTTCTTAGCTACTGTCTCTAGCAGGGCTTTAACTCTTTATTTGCCAGAAACCTCGCTGAAGCCCTTTAACTTTCCCTGCCTGTCCCTCAACCTTCCCTACAACCCTTAGGGGAAAGAAGAAGTATTTTTGAGTGTGCCGAGTGACTTGTGTCCTGAAGCTGAGTTTTTCTAGCAACACAATTTTAAAGTTTCACCTCTCTTTGCCCGTTCTCCACCTGTCTTCGTTTCTCCCATCCCACCTCAGCACTGTTACCCACAGGCTGGGACCCTCCCAGGCTAAAGGGTCAAATAGAGAAAGCAACACGTTCACACTGTGCAGAATTTAACAAGGAAGCAAACGACAAATCCAGGAAGGGAACTGCTTGGTGCAAGACACAGCCTCCCACCCCCTTCACAGGGTCACATGAGTTACAGAGACACCAGGCCATCTGCACCTTTAACCTCATCCCTGATCTCATCACATGGAGGTAGAAAGTTGTTCTTTATCTTAGGTAACACAGGTTCAGGCTGCTTTTTTTTTTTTTTTTTTTTTGGTGCCGGGAATCGAACTCGGGTCCTTCCGCTTGCAAGGCAGGCAGGGAACCACTGAGCTAAATCCCTGGCCCCAGGCTGATTTTAAGAATAAAAAAAAGCTTAAAGCTGGGTGTGGTGGTGCACTCCTGTAGTCCCAGCACTCGGGAGGCTGAGGCAGGAGGATTGCCACAAGTTTGAGACAGCCTGGGCTGCACAGTGAGTTCAAGGCCAGCCTGAACTACAAAGAGAGACCCTGCCTAAAAAGCAACAACAACAAAAAAGAACAAAAAAGCTTAATAATCATTGGGAAAATTTTTTGCCAAATAGACATTCATTTTCTATTATATAAAACAAAAAGAGTGACATACCTATCATACATACTAGACCCATACCTATCACCATGCACTAAACTAAGATCGAAGTGGATTAAAGATCTAAATATTAAAACAGAAACACTAAACTTGCTGGAAGATAAGTTAGGTAGAACTCTCAAAGACATTGGCATAGGAAAAGACTTTATGAACAAAACCTCAGTAGCATGGGAGCTAGCACAAAGAATCGACAACTGGGATCTCATCTTATTAAAATCTTCTGCACTGCAAAAGAAACCACCAACAGAGCTAAGAGACAACCTACAATGTGGGGAAAAAATTTTAGCAGCTGTACCTCAAACAAAGGACTACTATCTAGAATACATAAAGAACTAAAAAAAAATCAGACCCCCCAGATATAAAGACCCAATCCAAAAAATGAAATAAAACAGAAATAATGTCTGAAATAAACAGACATTTCTCAAAGAAGTAAAAGCAGCAAAGAAACATATGAAAAAATGTTCAACATCACTGGTCATTCGAGAGATGCAGATGAAAACAATGCTGAGATTCCACCTCACCCCACAAAGAATGGCTGCTATCAAGAAATCAACCAATAACAAATGCTGGCGGGGTGTGGAGAGAAAGGAACCCTTCTCCATTGTTGGTGGGAGTGCAGACTGGTGCAGCCACTATGGAAATCAGTATGGAGATACCTCAAAGAACTAGGGCTAGAGGTCCCATTTGACCCAGCTATTCCTCTGCTGGGTATTTTCCCAAAAGAATTAAAAGAATCATACCACAGCAATATATGCATACCCATGTTTATAGCAGCAGTTTGTAATAGCTAAAGCTTCGAAATAGCCCATGTGCCCATCAACTAGAGACTGGATAAAGAAGATGTGGGGTTTTTAAAAAATAAAATGGAGTACTACTCAGCCATAAAGAATGACAAACTAGAGACATTTATAGCTAAATGGATCCACATTGAGGTGATACTATTAAGTGAAATAAATAGGACACACATGTGTAAATACCAAATAGTTTCTCTGGTGTGAGAAACTGAAAGTGTAAATAAGGATTAAAATGAATAATTGATAATGTGCAATAGGAAGAAAAGGTCTAAAGGAGTAGGGGAAGTGGGAGGGGTAGGGGAAAGGAAAAAAGGGAAAGGAAAAAATATGAGAAAAGGAAAAAATGGAAACAAAGTCTCTGTAAATAGAGAAGGGTGGAGGGGGTGAAGGGAGGGCAGGGGAGAGGGGAAAAATAAGAACCGAGATGCATCATGTATAGGTGCAAGATCCCAATGATGAATGTAACTGTATTGTTTACCTAAAATGTACCAATAAAGGAATTTAAGGAAAAGAATGTGCCCTGAGAAGTCTCACAGCATCCCTGAGTTCAGGCTTTCCAGAAGCTCCTGGTTCTGTGACGAGAGGAAATGTATAAGGCACATGGAGTGGCCAGCGGGAGCAACTCAACCCTGGCCAAAGAGACTGAGCAGGCAGATTTGTCTGAGTGATGCTGCCAGTCTCACTGAAGGAACAAGAGCACTGGAAAATGCTGGAATTCTGCTCAAGAGGAGGGTGGGCGCATGGAGGGAGACTAGGAAACAAAGCCAGGTATGGGCAGGGTATGGGAAGCAGAGGCGGAAGGGGCCCGAGTATAATGTGCCCTCTGCTTTAGCTGCCACAGCTGTGCCCTCTCTGCCCTGAGGAGCTGCACATTGAGTGGTCAAGGTGACCTCTGATGAATGCCCTGGACAGTCTTCTTGACCACCTTGCCCTGGCCCTTCTGCAGCTGGGACTGGTCCTTCATGGAAGAAGTGTAGGGCACAGGGTTGCCCTGGCCTTTCTCAGGACAGTGTTTAGGGGTCTTTGCCAATCCAGTGGACTTTGGCCTCCCAGGAAAGCAGTGTCAGGAAGAGCAAGACTGCCTCCCTCAGGCACATTCTCATGCCAAGTGTCCTTCTCGAGTGTATTTCCTGCAGGGTGAGCAGAGGAGGCAGGTGACAACACAGGTGTCCCAGCCCAGAGCAGGAGATCAGAGCTGAGCGGAGCCCAGAGCAGGGTGAAATCATCTTCTCTACCCTCCAGTGGAGGGATTCAAAACTCAAAGAGGAAAGGGGACCCTGGTGAAGGGACACAGAAAGTCACTGTGGGTGCAGGGCCCCTCGATGCCCGGTGCTTTCTGCTGCTCCTCTCCTCTGTGCACTAACATGGGCTCCTCACTGAAGCATGGTCCTGCCTCAGTATCCACAGATATGGGCCCCTGGGCCCCCTATGGGTGCCCAAATCTGAGGATGCTCTAGTACCTTCCATAAAATATTGTACAACCCCAGTATAAATCATCCCTAGATGACTTGTGATGCCTACAGCAGTGTAAGCGCCACCTAAATAGCTGATATGCTGCATTGTTTGGGGAATGGCAGGAAGGAAAGTATGGACATGTCCTGTACAGGTGCAGCCATCATGGCCCTAACTGCACAGTGCAGGGAGACAGCAGGTTCAGTCACAGATGTGGATCTGGGACACAGAACACTGGCTGTATGTGTAGATATGCAAATGCACTTGTCTCTTAATCTCCCCCTGCACATATACACACTAATCTTCAAAGGAAAAGGTTAGAAATCAAATATACCACCACAAAAACCCTTTAGTTTAACAAATCAATGAACTTGGGCCCAGTGATCAGTTACCGAGTGGAGTCAAGTCAGTTCATGGAGCAGAGGGTTCCCAGGGCTGCAGTGGGGTCGGGCAGCATGAAGGTAAGCAGGTGGTCCTACGAGGAACTCCAGCCTGTACAAGTGGCACCATCTGGCCCAGCCTCGGCCCTGTGCTTCCTCTGGTGCGTGAGGAAAACAGGGCAAGAGCAACCAGTGATGCCACTGCAAACAAGAATGCCCGTGTGCTCATGAACGCACCGTGCTGCTGCAGTTGGCAGCTAGAGGAAGCCGGCTCCTTGGGTTTCTCAGTTGCACCAGAAATCCCACATGTGGACCCCTGTGCCCAGGACCTCCTTGATCCAGCAGCCCTGTCTCCCTGCCATCTAGTTCTGTGAACTGCTGCCCGTGAAGTTCCCTAATTTGCCCATTAGCAGTCACCTGTGGTTGCACCCACTGCCCTGGATGCTGGCGGTGATATGCCTGCTGACTAACTGACAATTGGCCTTGACTTCATTAGCTTGTGGATTCTAGAGAGCTTCGTTGATGGGAGCTCCTGCCTTCCTGGCTGTCAGTTTCCCTGCTGGTAGCCCTATCCATGTATCATCACACACCTGACTGAGTCTTGATTTGCTCTTCAAAATATTCAGCTAAGCCTCATGGAAAGCTTTTTGCCTTGAAACCTATCTTCATGTGCATATCAGAGCAGTGAGAAGATAAGCCTGTGCACAACTAACACTCCTGGAGTGCAGAGGACCATAAAATTGATTATTCCCAAAGCAGGCTGTGAAGAGTTAACCCCACAGCTGGCTTGTTTATAGAAGTGAGTCTGGCTGAAGCCTACGTGCTGAGGTCAGAGTAACTCACACCCAAATTCCGTTCCCACAACTAAACCCTTCTGACTAGAAGGACAATGTTCTAATTGCAACCATATATTTTGTCTATTATGTTCCTAAATTCGAGAATGGTTTGTCTTGTCCTTTATGAGCCTTTTTTACATTAATTTCCATAGAGACTATTTGTAGCTCGCCTTTAACTCAACTGATTGCCAGTAAAACTCAGTGCCTGGGACTGGCCAGCATCTTTGTCAGCTGTACCGGCATTGGCCATCCTGGCCCCCACTTTCCCTTCTAGTTCTGTCTCTTAGCGTCTTTTTTCTCAGGCCTGCATCGTATACTGGGCAGATGGGGACTGGAGCATGGCTCTTCCTAACCCTAGGGATGCCTGCAGCCCTTCTGCCAAGGACCAAGCAGTGGGGTTACCTCCCTGGACCAGCACCGGCCTTGAGTTCTTCCACAGCCCTGTTGTCAGGCTGTCTGTCTGGCTCCAAACCCATGTTCCCATGAGTCCAAAGATTTTCTGGTTCGAAACGTGGAAAACAAGGTCACTGCACATTCCATAAAACATCATGAAATCCAAGTGTGGAGGGATTTTAGGTCATGCAGAACTGAAATCATAAAGAAACACACAATGACTAAACATTTACAGACCGTGGGTTTTCAATTTTATATCAAGGTATAGTAAGTGCACACAATGAAGTACTCAGCTCAGTACATTCTGACATCTGTTTCAGAGGGTAACAGAATACACTACCCCCAAACATGTCACTTTGACATAAGGATAATTCTGAGCTGGAAGAGAATAAGAAGAAGCAGATAGAGTGGACCTCCCTTAAGGACCCTGAGGACACCGAGACCGAGGCTAGCTCCAAGCCCCATGCGGAGCAAACTACATGACACTGCATAAGCGACTAGCAGGCAGCGCACAGGTGACCACAGGTAGCTGGAGCTGCAGAGAGCACAGCTGAGGTAAGGGTTACTGTACCCCCAGCAGCCACCACCCAGACCAGGCTAACCTCCTCCCTCAACAGTACTCACCTGTGGCGAAGCCCAACGGACCTCCATTGCTGCTTGACAAAGTTCCAGCTGGGGGAAAGAAAGGGTGGAACACATCGTACCCTCATGTTTTATTTTTTTCTTGCCATAATGTTTATAATTATTCCTCTGATCGCAGGAGCCATTGTGTTTATGACTAACAACAAACTCTCCATGAGGCAAATTGGCAATGATATATTGAAATCTGATCTGGCTCATAAGCCCCAAATTCCAGTTTCTCTTAGTTCTATTGCCACATCCACTCCTAAAGAAACCTCTCCTAAAACCCCCTCTGTTGCCCACTACTATAACTCCCTCTCTTATTGCTGACATTCTTTTTACTAAAGGGGTCTTATGAAGAGATTGAAAGGTCAGGCTTTAGATGTAAGAAATAGTGGGAAATGGGAAATAAAAAGAACGTTAAGACAGGTAAATGCATTAAGGAGGCAAGTTACTCAATATCTCTCAAAGTGCTGTAAATATCTCCTGCTCATGGACTATGAACCCAAATGACATTTAGTTAAGATAAATAGAGCTAATAGCAAACTATATTAACCATTGTGCAGTTTCTCAAGGGCTAGCTGGTGACCACAAGTTTGACATTTAATTTGATTAAGTTACTTTTTGTTCTGCTTAGGTATGGGACAATGAGGGAACAATTGCAATTTTTAAGAAATGTATTCATGATGTTCAATGAAATGAATCAGCTTAGAAAAAATATACTGTTTAGCAAAAATAACCTGTACCTCATCAGATATTGCTAAGGCAACATAAAATGTGAACATGTTCCGCCCAATGCCTCTTAGCTGTTGCTTAAAGATATAAAAATAAATCAGACCCAAAGACTTCTCAGAGGGAACCTGAACATTGCTTGTGAAGGTTCTTTTCTCATCTCTGGCCCAGGACATCTCCCCTTCCTACCCTACATCGACTGCAGCTGGTCTGCGGCACACCCGCCCTAGAGGCAATGATAGCACCTACCTCTGCCAGTCTGCTTATTCTTGAACTTCACATACATTTAGTCATGTATTTAGCACCTTTCACTCAATAAGTTTGTGAAAGTCACCCAGGCAGATGGGGTCAGCTGAGCTAACTCCAGCTAGAAAATAGTCTTACTGTGAAGACCACACAACACACTTCCCAGATCCAAGCGTGGGTGAGGTTTTCTCCCATTCACAGCCAGCCCTCCAGCCTTCAGCACCAAGTGTGTGCTCAACTCGATTCTGACCCTGTCCACTTGGAGACAGCGTCACAGGGCTCAGCCATATTGTCCCCTCTTGCGATGCCACCTGCGAGTGCAGGCCTCTGGAACTTCTGACTGACAGGCTACAGACTAGGGGTTCCTACTGTCCCTCATCGACATTGTTAATCTGTTAAAGCAGAATGCAGGAGCACACTCTACATAGTACAGTCATTTGTCATAAAGGATACAACAAGGGACACAGTGGAGAGGGCCCTGGACAGGGTCCATCCTCGGGGTTCCCCTCCAGAGACTTCTGTGTGTTCAGCTGTCCGGAAGCTCTCAAACCCAGGAATTCAGGGATTTTTATGGAGGCTGCATCCCATCTGCATAACCAATTATTAATCCTCTTCCCAGACGATGAGGGGCAGGTGGAGCTGGCTTGGTCCTCCCGCTTCCCAGGAGCCCACCAGAGAGGTCCCTCACAGGAACAATGGATACTCTCACCTCCCAGGAAATTCCAGAGGACGAGGACCTGTGTGCTGGACCCTCCTATCACTCAGGAAATGACAGACATCCTAGGAGCTCTGGAACTGGGGTCAAAGACCCGATACTAGAACAAACAACCTCCCAGTGCCCCTGTCTGCAAGGGCTTCAGCAGCTGTAGGCCAGGGACCAGGGCAGAGATCAATGTGTCTATTTCTCATGATTTCACAAACCACACACAAGGCAGCAGGGGACATGTCAGGAAACACTGCAGTCATCGGAGCTGGACCCGCTGACCAGAGTGACCAGGCTGCAGGAACCCAGAGACCTCACCATCAGACAGGGATGCAAGGGCAGAGTTGAGGACAATTTCAAGCTCTGGGACTCAATCCGTCACTGCAGCGACCCTGGAACTGGGATGTGTGCCATGGGTGTGAGGACCCAGCATGCAGCGGGGTGAGTTTGACAGGCAACCGGGTGCCAGCAGCAAGTGTGGGTGGATGAGTGCTGCTCTGCAGGGATCGAACTGGAGCCGGCAGCGTGGGACGCAGCTCAAGCTGAAGAATGATTCAAGCCTGGGCAGGAGGAGCAACAGCAGCAAACTAGTGCAGGGCCTGAGCAGGGCTCCCAGGGTCAGAGCTCAGCAGGAGGAGGAAGCAGCACTGACTGGATGAGGGGTGAGGCCCAGGGACCAAGGGGAACACTCCTGAGAATCCCAAGAAGCTGAAATATGAACAGCAGATCTTGAGTCTCCGGAGTTCTATTTTTTGGATGAAACCCAGGGCCTTGCACTAAGCATTTGAGGTGCCCACGAGCCCACACCTCCTGTTTTCCAGCTTCCGGGACATTTTGCTCCACATCTTTCTCCCGAAGAGACCTTGCTGTGTTCTGAGTTACCTGGCCGGGTGCTGGCTGCACGGGAGGCAGGCAGAACTTGGCAGTCTGGAGATGTCTGTGCAGCCACAGCATCCAGGAGACCTCTGCTCCTCCCCACATCCACACTGGCCAGGCAACCTGGCCGCTGGGAAGGGGGACTGGGTGACCTTCGGTGGGGGACAGACCTGCCTGTTAGCACAGCACAGCAGGGAACCCCGCTTTACCAAGTCCCAGCTCTGCAATACCAAGATATTCAACCCACCACTAACGTCTCCCTTTCTTTGTCTGTGAAATACCCCAGCAAAATGTCTAACTCAGTCGCTGTTACAGTTTACGTAACTATTAACAAGATTTTAAAATGCTCTAGTTGGGGGGAGGGTCTCTAACTGGACCCTAAAGCAAACCCCACCCACATCCTTCCTGCCAGATGAGCCTGCGCCCCTCCCCAAGCTCAAAGAGTGGAGCTGTCTAGGGCTGGAACCCGCTTCCCTGACCACAGCCCCCTTCCTGAGCCAGGCTTCTGGAGCCAGCCCTGGACACTGCGTCCCTCCAGGCCCTGCACCCCCCTCGCCTGCATGTCTCTCTGCACTCTCCTGTGCCTCTGTCCTCACCTCTCTGAGGGCCGGGGCCCTGCAGGGATCTCTGACCAGCTGGGCTGCCTGGACAGAGCAGGAGCAGCCAGGCAGTCAGGCCGCTGCCCGAGGAGAGCAAGCACTGCAGTGCGGACAGCGGGGCTGGGAGATTGAGTGCAGGCCCAGCCAGACTTCCAGAAAGACGTGCTCGCTTTTAACTTTCTCTTTCACATCTCCCTCCAGTAGAGGCCTGGTGAGCTGAGAGGGCAGAGTCAAAGTCCAGGCCTGGCTGGAGTCCATTTCAGTGGTGAGCACCTGCCCAGAGTGTGACCGCATGCAAACAAAGAAAGGAGTCAGAGGCCTGAGTTGCCACTTCTCCTTCCCAGCTTAGTGACAAGCACATAATGGGTGGATGCTGCCAGGCTAGGACATTGAGGGCCAGCTGGTCATTTAGAGCTATGTACAATGAGCAGCTACTCAACTGCCCTGGGCCTCTGTTCCCCTCTTCACTATGGGCATTAAAATGTGGCGTAGGGCCGGGGATTTAGCTCAGTGGTTCTGCTGCCTGCTGTGCAAGTGCAAGGAACTGAGTTCAATTCCCAGTACCAAAAAAAAGTGGTGTATGCTGCACACACGATGGAGTACAACTCAGCTGAGAAGCAGGACAGATGTGAGTCATTAACAGAATGGGTGCATCTTGAGACCATCATGCTAAGTGAAAGAAATCAGACAGGGGTTAAATATCAGTTTCTCATCTCTGAGAAACCCAAAATATAAATAATCTAAAGAGCAAAATAAAAGAGATGGTAGGAAACGGGGAGGCAGACTTTGTGGAGAAGGGGACAGGGACCCAGGGAAGAGAGAGGGGCACATATACGGAACTTTTATGTACCACAAACATACACCAATCATAAGGAAAATGGCTCCTGGCTCAGAGCCACCATGAAAAGCTGTGCATGGCAGCCAGTGTTGTAAAGCCATGTCCCTGCAGCACCCTCCACAGGCACAGGACTCCTGTCTTCCCATGAGGGAGGTGGCACTGGACGGCTACTCACATCTCTAGTTCTTCACGCACAATGTTCTGAACACAGCAACTTAAAACAATTACTTCATTTGGTGGCAAAACCTGACCTCAGCTAGCATGAATTTACTCGTGGTTTTACGTAATCTGCTTAATTTGGACATTCATAGATTTGCTGGAGAAATGTTGGTAAGTTTGACGCAGGACTAGTGGTGTGTCTCGGTCACGTTCCATTGCTGGAATACAATACCAGCACCCACAGCCTAGGGGAGGACAGGTTTACTTAGCTCACAGTCTCAGTGGGTTCTGTCCATGGTCTACCAGCTCCACAGCAGAAAGGTTTGGTGGAAGGCCCAGCAGAGGACAGCTGCACCCAGGAAGCAGAGAGACCCCAGGGACCAGCGTCAGCCAGGCCCACGCCTAACAGCACACTCAGCCCTGAGGTCACCAGTGAGTGAATCCATGATGCAGTCACCTTCCACCCATATGACTTTTGGGGTACATTTTGGAGCTAATCCATAACATAGTGTTACATATGAAGTAACACCCACACTCTCTCTATTACTTTTCTAAAAATCCAAAAGTTGGGAACTCAGAAATGCATCAGGCCCTCAGAATTTGAGGTGCAGGGTGGAGGCCCTGAGACTGCCATTTTGCAGATGGGGAAACAGAGGTTTGAAGAAGACTGGATGCTCTCTAGGGTCCAGTGCTGAAAGATGGAGCCAGCTTGGACTCATGCCTGGAGACAAGCATGCCATGGGGCTGTGGCTGGGACAGGCGTGTCAGCCAGCAGCCGTGTGCACACCAGGCTTGCAGACCACACAGTGTGTTCACATCTTCATGTCCAGAAGCCTCCTGTCCACACCTGGCTGGGCCATACTGGAGCTGCCGTTTCATCCTCACAGTGATCCTTGAGAGCAGACGTTTAGTGCCGGTTTTTAAATTCCTATTTTACCGATGAAGGAAACAAAGTCCTGGGAGCTGCATGTCGCTTCCCTGGGGCACAGACAGAGAGTCTGGCAGAGTCAGGCACCACTTCCAGGGTCCCCACAAAGCCGCATCCTTCCCAGGGCCCAGGAAGCCCAGCACCAGTGCGACAGGCACCACTGACCAGAGGCTCCCCAGCCTCAGGCACAGGGCTTACCCGGCACTGTTCCTCGAGGCCCGAGAGTGAGGACCAGGGTCACCACCTTCCAAGACCCTGAGGACAGAGATGGCTGAGGTAACCAACCGCAGAGGCCCCGCCGGGCCAGCGAAAAGGGAGTTCTTCCTTCCACCACTAGATGGCAGAAGGGCTCACCGGCAGCCTGGGATAGGTCACCTTGGGCTTTGAACTTGGGACACAGCACAGGGAAGTGAAGGACATAGCGCTTACTGCCTGCTCTTTGACGGGTGCTGTTAGGAGGACAAGACTCCTGGGGACTGGATGGGGCTCCACAGAAGGCCTCTTCCTTCAGGGCCCCAGGGCCCACAGTGGCAAAAGGCGCCTTCTCCAGCTTCCTGTGACTGGGGAAGCCAGAGCCACACTGCCGGTGACAGCTGGCTTTGGCTCTGCAGAATTTTCATCCTGGATCTGAGGGTCCAGAATTTGAAGGTGTGAGGCTGACTGTGCACCCTCAGGTTTGGGGACACGAAGTACCTGGGAAATGGGGCGGGTCCAGTGTGTCGGAGGGGGTCGCACAAACCACACACTAGCAGGATGCGAGCCTGTGAGCAGGGCTGGGGAGAGCCTGGCTTCCCCATCCGTCTGCCGCCTCCCTGGCCAGCGGTAAGGAAGCCATTACAGAGACAGCGGCTCCAGGTGGTCACAGCACCTACAGGCACCTCTCTGGCTTAGGACAGCAATGCCTCCCATTAGCTTAACTGGAAACTCCAAAAGGCTCACCAACTTCAAACAAGGCATAACATGGCCCCTGCTGAGCTCTGCATCAAACATCTCAGCACTGCTGTTAATGCCTGATGAGATTCTAAACACCCAGGCTGCCCCTGGAGAGTTTAGCCACTGCCCCTGGGGAAGACACATGCTGTGTCCCAGCACTAGCCAGTGTGGAGACAGAAACCAGAGCCCTGCGACACAGGTCCTGGAGCAGGTGTCAAGGTTGTGACCCAGCACTCAGGGCAGGTGGTCGAGCCAGCCTGGGCCATGGCTGTGGCCCCAACAGCAGGACTGGCTGCCAGGCCCGCCTCCCCCTGGCCCGGACTAGGCCCTTGCTGCGGACTGAAGGACAGGTGGTGACTGGCCATGCTGGGTCTGCTTCTGGATGTCAGGAGGGGCGACCTGAGCCCACAGGCCTCTTGGCTTCCTGGGAATCTGCTCATGTAGTACTCACAGAGGTCACCTGCAAGTCACAGGGGAAGAGCTGCTCATGGTCACCCTACAAGGAGACCTAAGCCTGGGGACCCAGGACCGGCCGCAAATGTGACTCTCCCTGCCCCTCGAAGCGCCTGCTGCAAGCCCCACCACCTAACGCTGTGGCAATCGGTCCCACACCGGCCTTGGAAATGGCTTTGAGGGGATTGTGGCCCCTGGAAGTGACGCCTCAGCAGGGGCTGGGGCCATGCAGTCCTGGGCAGCCAGACATCTACTCAGCCTTCCTGAACCTCAGCTGTCAGCAGGACAGCTTGTGTTACAGAGCAGAGCCTTAGGACAAGCCCGGTTCCACCCCCAAGAGGCTGGCACTGCGCTTCCTGCCACTGGGCTGTGGGGCAGAGGCCCTAGCTCTGAGGGCCCTGTCGCCGAGCAAGGAACCAGCAGTGGGACGGGCGGGAAGAGCACTTGCCTCAGAGGCTGAGCTGGGTCGGGGACCGATGGAGCAGCTCCGGGCCTGGCTTCGGGGTGCAGGAGCTTTGGGGTTGTGCTGAAAAGGGGCTGGCCGGGGAAGGGTGGGGTTTGCACAGCTGGCAGCGTAGGGGATCCTGGTCAAGCCGGGGTCCGGTTGCTGCCACCTCAGGATGGGTCCTGATGGGTCGAGGGCATTGGTTCCCTGGAGGTGACTGCCCTGGGTAGGTCAGGTGACCTGGTGGGGGTGGTCTTCGAGGCCCTGCTGTCCTGGGGTCGGAGGGGCTGCGGGTGGAGGACGACTGCAGACTCCAGGGCGCCGCTCCAGGCATTTGGAACAGGACACCTTAGACACTGGCACCTGAATGTTCCTTGGAGCCCTGCCTCAGCCTTGAAGGGAGACGAGGTGGGATGGGCACATCTGGGACCAAGACACCACGCTTATCAGTTTCCAGCAGACAGTCTTCGAATGACTAACAACCTGTATCCAGAGCCGAGCGGGGAGCTGACCCAGAGTGTGAGGCGATTAAGACACAGATGTAAAACAGCGGTGGGGATGCCAGTGCCCTCCTGCTCTTCCTCCTGGGCGCCAAAGGCCCCGCTCTGGGCCCTGCACTGGGTCCCAGTGACGCTCACAGGGGAGCTGGCAAGGTCAGGCGTGATCCGGCTGCAAGTCATTGATGAGCTGTAAGCCCTGAGCAGGTGGAAGGAGGAGTTTGTGAGCGTCTTCACCCCAGCACTAACTAAACTGCACTGCACGTGTATTCCTCCTACTTATCTCCCCAAAGACTTGGTTTTACTTTGTTATCCTCAGCATGTCACGTAGCGTCTGACATACTGTGTTTGTGGTATGGATGAGTGATGGGTGGATGGGTGGCTGCATGGAGAGAAACAAGTCCAATCAGCCTACACCTGCCTTCCTGGCCAAGCCATACATATTTACTCAACAAGTGCTTATTGAGCTCAAAGTTGGTAGAAGGCACTGTGAGCCCCAAAGACACACAAATGAACCAAACAGAGCCCAGGCTCCTGGGAACCAAATGAAGGTTTCAAGAGCAGGACTTGGGGCCTGGCTTCCCAGTCAGCGGCTGTGCGAGCATGGCATACTTCCTCACTTCCCCAGTTACAGGGGACAGTGTCGAGACCCATCTCCTAGGGTTGCCGGGGTTAAGTGAGTCACCTCAGGTAAAGCTCTGCCCGAGGCCCAGGACAGGCAAAGGCTGGGAGCATTGGCCACAGTTCACGGAGGAGCCGGAACGGAAACGAGGAAACATGGCACAAGGCAGCAGCAAGTAACACAACAGGAGCATTTATAAATAAAAGGACGGCAGGAGAAGCTGTGCCTGAGGAGCAAGCCAGGCATGACTCTCCCGGGGGACTCTGGGAGCAAGGTCGCAGAACCAGGGCTCTCTGGGGCCTGGGGACATGCCCACTTAGCCCAGCGCCGGCCCAGTCTGGTGGGGCATAGGGACCCAGGGAGTGTAGCAGGCATCTGGCCACCTGTCCTGGGGCTAGCAGGAGAGTCCGTGCCCAGGAGAGTCAGACCAGGCCCTCCCGGGTGGCGCGCAGGGAGCGTTGGGTTTCAGGCGCTGGCAGGGGCCTGGGTGGTGCCCTTTCTGCCCACGTCCCACTCCCCCACCCCCGTGGCCTGAGCTGTCCTGCTTCCCCACAATGGTGCCTGCCCCAAAATAGCTCCCATGTGAGGGCACAGATTAGACCCCGAGGAAGACAAACAGGAGGGGCAAGGCATCAGGTGACCACGTCAGGGCCCAGCAGGTATAAAACCTGGTGCAGGCGGCCTCCACCCCAGTTGTTCCTGACACCACAGCCTGCACTCTCTCCTCTGCTCTCGGACACCATGGGGCTCAGTGATGGGGAGTGGCAGCTGGTGCTGAATGTCTGGGGTAAGGTGGAGGGAGACCTCAGCGGCCACGGGCAGGAGGTCCTCATCAGGTAAAGGAGCTGCGCCCCTCACCCGCCCTCAGACCCCTGGGTTGGGCTCCCAGGCGGAAGCTGGCTGCGGTGGGGAGACTGCTGCCTCCACTTGTTCCCTCTCGCCTCTCTGTCCAGGAACGGGGAAGGGTCCATCCGGGCAACCAGCACTGGAGGGAGCTCAGGGGCCCGAGGAGGGTGCCCAGAACCCACCAGGGGTCCTGGAACAGCAGTCAGCACTGTGCAGGCATTGTCCAGCCACCTTACTTACTGGACAAGGACAAAAGGGACCAGAGGGGAAGGATGTCCCCAGAGCCGTAAACCCACCAAGGTCCATAAAACGTCAAGGCTGAGGTGTGGCCTTCAAGGTGGGACTGATGGAGCTCTGGAGGTGGCTCTGCCGCCAGTGGTGCAAGCCCTCTGGGGAGAAGGTCACCTCGCTGAGCCCGTGTCCTCCCCTGCACCTGCATCACAGGAGTGAGGTACAGATGAACACCCAGGCTCCTGTGAAGCTGGGGACGGTCGCAGTGCCACCACCTGCATGCACCCTTAATCAGAGAGAACCAGGGCCCGCTGGGCCCTGAACTGAGCGCTCTGGATGAGGCCTCCCGCCCCTCCTGCCCCCCTGCCTGCAGTCTTGGTGATGTGCCTGCAGCTGGTGCAAGACACCCCCACCCCTGTATCCCCATCCCCTTCACCCCGGTGACGGTGGGGTCAGTGGTGACCAGCCCTCCCCTAGCCCTTCCTACCACCCTGGCTGGGTCCTGTCTACCTTGGGGAGGGAGCAGGTCCGAGTGGCCCCAGGAGGGGGTGGACTTGCAGCCCCTTTAGGAGCCAGGGCGAGCTGCCCCACACAGAGAACTCATCACCTCCCTGAGGCCCAGCCACGGGGGACGGTGGGGACCCAGGCAGGCCGCCTGTGTGTTCCGCTGACCCCCAGCTCCTTGGCTGCCCCTGTCCTCTGCCTGTCTCTGGCTGCAGGGCTGCGCCAGGCCTCATCTCACTGAGCGAGCCCAAACCCCGGGTTGACATCAGCCCCAAGCCCTGGTTACTGAGCAGCCCTGGGCTTCTCATCCTCTGCCCAGGCCTGGGCCTCTGGGTGGAGTAAGAGGACCCTGAGCCTCCCGTCCTCCTCACCCTGGAGACGGCAGGATGGTGGGGACAGGAGGGACACAGGCGCTGCCAGCCCCAGCCAGTGCCCTGGGTCCTGAGGGAGCCTCAGGCAGGCGAGTAGGCGTCACGGGCATCTCCTGCCTTCCCAGGCAGGGACACAAGGCCAGAGAGCCCCGCCCTGTCACACGCCGGCGGCCGGCAGTGCGCCCGTGTCCCGCGGCAGTGCACGGGGCGTGGGGTGCAGGGTGCTGGCCTCCGGGTGGGGCAGCCTCTGCTCCGGTGAGCCTGGCAAGGCCACCCCCCAGCCCTGACTGGACTGAGAGGGGCTCACTCACACAAGGCCTCACCCCAAGGGCGTGGTCACAGAGCTCGGAACAAGGCTGAGGCAGGACACGCCCGGGACACTGGCATTTTCTGTGGGAGCCAAGGCTCCCAGGACCGTGATGTTTGGAAGCCACTGCTGCGGGCCTTGGCCTCTCGTGCTCCCGGGAGGAAATCCTGAGAGCCCCTGCCAGCCACAGTGGGCTCGTGGCGCAGGTGTTCGTGGTAAGGGAAGCTGGCGACAGACGCACGGAGCACACTGTGCGCAGGCCTCAGCTGGGTGTAAGTTCTCGCCACAGCCTCTCAAAACCACCATTGACGCCGTGAACAGAGAGGTTGGGGGCCAAGCCCGAAGCCACGCAGCCCACCCTCCTTGGGGTCTCTGGCTCCTGCAGAGCCAGTCCTCAGGGCCCTGTGGGGTCCAGCTGGGCCTCGGTGCGGGGCATGATGGGTGGCCTTGCTCACTGATGTCCCTGAGACCGGTCTGGTGCACCAGGCAGGCAGAGGCAGAGCTGGGACAAACTGAGGAGAGGGTCAGGGCCTCTGCACCGCAGGCAGGCCGGGGCTCCCCACCCACTGACCCCTCCCAGGACTGCACCAGGGCAAGGCAGGCAGACCTCACCCCGCGGACCGGCCTCAGGTTCCCGGGCTGTGTCGGGGCTTCGAGCGCAGGGCCGTGGATGTCTTCCAGACTGAGCACTGGGTTTGTGTGGTGGCCCAACAGCTGAGCTCTCGCTGCCTTGGCCTGTCCTAGCCCCTCCCGCCCTTCTCCAGCCTGACCTTGGGCTCGCCTGTGGGCCTGCACCTGTCCGCAGGGACTCAGGGATCATTGTCACCAGATAATAATAGTCAGGCGCCAGAACCCAGGGAGGGGAGGTGGCAGAGATGCTGGCACTGACACAGGCGGCTTGGCTGGGGTCCCGGGGTCGTGGCAGGGGACAGGCGGCTGGGAGACTCAGAGCCCCGCCCGTCGAGCCCCTGCAGGAGCAAACACATCTGTGGCCACTCCAGTACTTCTGTCTGTGTCACCTGAGTGCATAACGGACCTGAGAGGTCACCAATGAGACAGAAGCTGGGTCTACCCGGCCGGGCCCTGGGGCTCCTGCCTGTCTCTGGGCCCCCTGCCCGGGCCTTCCCGCCCTTGTGGGGCACATGTCAGTGCATATCGCACATGGGCTGAGTGCCCGTGTGGGGCTGCGTTACAAAGCCCGCTATTAACACAGGGTGTGTGTGACCAGGATGTTGGGCAGGGAGCCCTGGGTGCTTGGGCCAGGGTCGGACCCCGGTAAAAGCCTTGCGGGGTCGAGAGTGTCTCTGCAGGGCAAGACAGCTGTGTGTGGAGGGCAGCTCTGCCTGCCCCATGTCCCTCCTGTCCCTGGGGCCCTTCACGGCCCACTGGCCGGCTCCTTGGATGCCCATGCAACCAGGCACCAAGGGTGCCATCCATTGTGCCCACCAGTCCCCTCTCCTGGGCCTCCGAGGGCCATGGGTCTGGGCAGAGCCCCGGAGGGCTCTTCTGGCATTAACGGCCACCCGGCCAGGGCTCCCCAGAAGCAGCCTCGTGACCGTGCCTGAAGGTGGCCACCCAGGTCTTGGGCACAGCCCTCTGGCCACGCGAGGTGCCTGGCGGGAGTGGAGCCCAGTCGCCGACAGGCTGGGGATCCCTGCAGCGGGCTTGGGACCCAGGCAGGAAGCTGTGCGAGCCCTGCAGGACAGGACCCCATCCCAGCCTGGCCCTGCGCCTGGCTGCCCTGCACAGTGGGGACGGCGCGAGGGCTACGCAGGGGCACAGGTGCAGCTGGTCAGCTCCCTGTCCCCTCCCCACAGCCCCCGGCACAGGCGACGCAGGTGCCACGCGAGGGCCCTTCCCGTCCTACTCCTGCAGCAGCGAGGAGAGGGCTCAGGGACGCTGCTGAGCGCGGGGATGACAGCGGTGTCTGCGGCACACGCGTCCTGGGCCCGCCCGCTGCCCTCACCCTGGACGCCTCCCTAACCCTGCATCTGTCCCTTGGAGGACTAGGAGGCGGAGAGGGACAGCGGGCCGCCAAGGTTGCAGAGCCGCCAGTGGGGCAGCGGGGGAGGGAGCAGGCCTCGGCTCCTCGGCCCGCCCCGGCCCCGCCCCCCGGCCCCGCCCCCGGCTCCTCGGCCCGCCCCCGGCCCCGCCCCCGGCTCCTCGGCCCGCCCCCGGCCCCTCTGACCCCGACCCCCTGCACTCAGGCTCTTCAAGGGCCACCCCGAGACTCTGGAGAAGTTCGACAAGTTCAAGAGCCTGAAGAGTGAGGACGAGATGCGGGGCAGCGAGGACCTGAAGAAGCACGGCAGCACGGTGCTCACGGCGCTGGGCGGCATCCTCAAGAAGAAGGGGCAGCACGCAGCAGAGCTTGCGCCCCTGGCGCAGACGCACGCCACCAAGCACAAGATCCCGGTCAAGTACCTGGAGGTAGGAGGGGCACAGCGCGCCTCCCGGCCTCAGTTTCCCCGCCTGCGCTGTCCGGGGCTCAGCAGCCCGTGGGGAGCCGAGGTGGGGCGGGTACCACCCTGACACAGTCTGCACGTAGGTGCAGGGGAAACCGAGGCAGGCGCGGCGCCCCTGGGCTACGTCCCCGGCCCAGGTCAGACTCGTGGAGAAGCCGGCGGGGTGGGACGGCTGTGCAGGCCACCTCGGGTCTGGGGTGGAGACGAGGCACACACGGGCATCCAGGGACAGGTGGGGTGGTGCCAGGCATTGCCCGCAGCCACCCTGAAGTGGAGACTGTGTCCCCATCTCCCCTCACACGGAAGAGCAGTGGTACGGTCCAGACCCAGGGCCAAGTCACCAGGCATGCCAACTCTCCATGTCCAGCTTCAGAGCTGCCTCGTGGCCCCAGGTAGCTGCAGGAGCTCTAGCCACCTCAGCAATGCTCCAAACAGAAAGTGGGAGACAGGGGGGAAATCTCCCTTCTGAGGATCCCTTTGAGGGGCTCCATCTAACGATTTTGTATGCATCTCATTGGCCGAAGTCTATGAGGCCATGTGTGCACAGAAGCAGGAAAAGGCGGTTGTTCCCACTCCAAGGACGCTAGTGTTTCAGGTGGAGGAGGAGAGGGAACAGAGACAGGGCTGGTGCGTGTGGTCCCTGTCCCATTTTACTGAGTGGAAATGAGGCTCCCACGGCTGGAGCAGCTGGTAAGACAGCAGCGTCAGATCCCGTTCCCTTAACCCACAGGCCTGGGGTCCTCCCCGTCCCACTCACCACCCCCGAAAACCCAGCCTCCCCACCCGCTGCAGTCCCCAGCTGCTCTGCACCCAGTGCCTCTGTCCCAGGCCCATCGTGATGCCTCCGCCTGGATGGTCCTTTACCTCTTCCCTGCCAAGGGCCAGGTGGACCTCAGCTCCTCAGGTGGGCTGGGTTCTGACGTGACACAGGGTGGGCTCTGCGCCTTGGGGCGGCCTGGCGCCTGGCAAGAAAGGAGGTGAGCAGCCAGAGGTGTCACTCGACCCCGAATCCCCATGGCTACCTGTCTGTGTCTGGACTGGGCCTGAGGCTGGGGAGGGTGGCCGAGTTGGGGCTCTGCTGCAGGCAGACCCAGGCCAGCGGGTGGGGCACCAGCAGGTCCTCACTCCCTGTGGGTGGTGGCACCACTCGGGGACAGCAGGGCCCTGCCCAGCCCCCACTCTGTTCCGCTGCATTTGCGACATTCACAGTGCTGGCACCTGGGGGTCCGCGCCCCAGGGTGGGTGCCCGTGTTGCCTCCTCCCCGCTGTCCCAGCCCTGTCCGCCTTTCCTGGCTGCTGGAGCCGGAGACTAGTAGTAATCCTCGCTAGACCACTGCTGGGACTGCCCACTGTCTCCGAGCACAGGTCCAGCCCTGGCACCCCTGCAGTGTGACCTCAGGCTGGCACTCGCTTGTCACCGCTGTCAAATGTCACCACTTGTGCACAGTGGGTGGCGGCTGGATCCAGTCCTGTCCACGGCCAGTAAACAGCATTTCTGGCCTGCAGCCCAGGCGCAGACCTGGCCGGAAGCCCTTCCTCTCCCTCCCTGCGTCCCACCCTGCTTCTGAACACGGACAGTGTCGTGCTGCCACAAAGCAGTCTTTTTTTCTTTTTGAGGTACTGGCCATTGAACCCAGGGCCTTCACACTGAGCTATACTCCAGCCCTTTTTTATTTTTCATTTTGAGAAGGGTCTTACTACGTTGCCAAGGCTGAGCTCCAATTTGCAATAGTACTGCCACAGCCTCCAGGGGCTTGGGATTAGCTGCGACCACCACTCCAGGGCCCTGAGCAGTCTGCACAGCACTCTCCGTGCAGAGCCCTTCAATGCACACAGCGTGAAGCCATCCTCCAGACGTCCCGTCTGGACGTACAGTGTGGATGCACTAGTGAAGTGGGGCGCTCCGCTCTCTCCCGCTCTCTCCCACTCTCTCCCGCTCTCTCCCCGCCGCCCGCCGCTGCAGCCCAAACACAGCAGCAAACGCCCACCTGCAGCCTCAGCACCAGCCGCAGCAGTTTCCCCCTTGGTGAGGCAGACGAGGCAGGCAGCGTAGGCAGGGCTTGGCCATGCTGGTCCCCCTCAGTGACCCTCCCGCTCTGGTCCGCAGTTCATCTCGGAGGCCATTATCCAGGTGCTGCAGAGCAAGCACCCCGGAGACTTCGGAGCCGACGCACAGGGCGCCATGCGCAAGGCGCTAGAGCTGTTCCGGAACGACATTGGCGCCAAGTACAAGGAGCTGGGCTTCCAGGGCTAAGCCGCGCCCGAGCCCAGCGGCCTGGCCGCCGCATGGTGTGTGCCGCAAGTGTCCGCTCGCTTGGGGAGGTGGCGGGGTGCGGCCAGGCCCTGTCACCCAGCCCTGTGCCCCCGCACTGCCCTGCTGCTCCACCAAGCTCCTCCCGCCGCACTTGTGCCCCGAATCCTGGCCATTTCCAGGCCCAGCCAGCGTCCTCCCGCCCCTCACCCGCCTGAGGAGCACGCATGCGCCCTGGCGGATTTGGCGTGCTCGTGGCTTCAATAAAGGACTCTGCAGCTTCCCAGTGTCTCCCCGCGCTGGAACAGGTGCCCCCACCCCTCGCCGGAAGACACAGGCAGCGGATACTGGGTGGCACAGGGGCCTCATGGGCAGGGAGAGGGCCGGGGCCTCCACCCTCGGGCGTCGTGGGGCTTGGGGTGCTGTGGGGGACATGATGGCCCAGGCCGGGTGCACAGGGCCATGGGAACCAGGGGACAGGGTCATGTGGTCACCACAAAGCTAGCAACATGAGAAGGTCAGGCCAGTAAGTGACACTGCTGGGACTCAGGCCACAGCCTGGAAAGCTGCTGGGGCTCTGGCAGGAACTCTAACCAGGCAGTCTTGGTGACCAGCACAGACCTCTGGGCCCAGGGAAAAGACAGGCGTGGAGTCTTTTCCCCAACCATGGCCTGGAAGCCACCATGTCCCCAGGGGCAGAGATAGCCATGAGCCTGTGCAGACCCAGGGCCACAGTGGGCCGTGAAGGCTGCCAGTAGCCAGGGCAGGAAGGGCCTGGAGGGTCCCCAGCTCGGATGCCACCTCCACTCGGGGCCACCTCTGGGAGGCTGAGGCAGGTGTGTGGGGCCGTGGGGCCTTGTGCCTGCCCTGAAGGGCCACACAGCCATCTACTGGTGACTCAGGCCATGGGCCTGGGGGGCTGTGCCACTGGCCCTGCCCAGCAGCCTTGTCCGGGGCAACCATGTCCTGACCCTGAACCTACCCAGAGCAAGGTGACAGGGAAGAACCAGTTATGTCCCACACTCATCCACCAACACACGGCCAGCACGGCAGGACGCAAGAAACCCACTCCTCCCTCTGCTCTGTCTTCATCTGTGGTGCCGCTGAGCTTCTGTCCTGAGTCCTCAGCGTGCTTATGTAGGTTTTCCTTCTGTCCCAGCCAGGGCTGTGGCCAATACTGAGGGCGTACGTGTGCCAGGCGGCGGCAGCGTGTGCAGGTATACCTCGTGCGCGTCTCCAGGGCTGCTCACAGGCTGCTGGGACAAGAGGCGCTCAGACCCCGGGCCCGGGCCGGCGGCACTGTGAGGTCGTTCAGGTTGTGGCCCACAGTGGGAGAGTGTTGTCGCAAGGCCCAGGTGTGGACTTGGAGCCTGATGGACACAGGAGGCCCCAGAAGGAGCTCGGCTCTGCAAGTGGAGCCCTGTGTGTCTGCACATGTGTACATGTGTATGTGTGTGCACAGGTGTGTGTGCGTCCTCAGGGAGGTGTCCCCTGAAAGGACACCGAGCGAGTGTGCACATCAGCCTGACTCCTGCTGTCAGCTTGGCAGAGTCCGCCCACATGGCTGTCTCTGGAGGCCACGCAGATCCCAGGGCCACCCAAATGCCTCTGTCACTGGGCTGATCCGCGGCAGCCCAGGACCATGGTGCTGAGGCAGGGTGAGCCACCAGAGGGTGCGCGGTCAGCCTGAAGGGCAGCGGTGACAAAACGGTCAGCCACACTGACGCACCAGGCTGGCCTGACCAGCCACCGCCCCATGGAGCCAGGGGACCGGGCCTCAGAAGTGACAGGCCACCGGGACAAACTGCTCTGAGTACACTCACTTCGGCCCCTGCTGGTGAGCAGGCTAGGCCTTGAGGTTTCATCACACACATGCACACCACGTACACTGCACACAAATGACACACAACCACACAACATATCCAGGTGCACACAACCACACATACCACACACAAAGACGCACGCACACACCACAAACAAACCACACATCACACACCATTCATTTTGGGCTTCCAGACAAGTGAAAAATGTATCTTTAAAACACAAAATACCATCACACAACCTCTGCTGTTGATCAGTGACTGCCTGGCTGCAGGGTAGCCACAGATGCAGACTCCTGTGCAAACCGGCCTGGCAGAGCAGCAGACGGCAGCACAGGCCTGTGCTGCCACGGTGGGCACAGGGCGAGCTGGAAATGCTCTCAGGCTCTGTTCTTGGGCGCTCTGCCTCCTGACCATGGCACATGCAGACCTGGACACCCTGGAGTCTCCACATCCACCAGTCACCTCGTAGCCAAGGGGCAGAGGTACCCGTGTGAGCCCAGGAGTACGGACCCGCTGCTCCGAGCCCAGATTCCACCGTCAGGGATGCTGCGAGGGACCCCGGGTCCTGCAGGGCATAGTGCTTGGCACCAGGCCTCCTGGGATTCAGACAGGGCCCCACGAGAAGCCAGACGGGCTCACACCTGGAGGACTTCCTGCTGACCTCGGTGGCCTTGCAGTGTCGCTGCCAGCTCTGGTGCTGAGGGAAGGTTTGATGGCGGTGCGGGGAAACGGAAGGGCCCAGACTCTTGGACGATCCTGCATTCGCTCACGGCCCTGACGTTCGTGCAGCCCCACCAGGTAACCATGGCGGCACCACCATCGCCTCCTCGGTGTTAGTCTTAGGCATCCTCCTGGCCAGGCTATGGTGCCCAACCGTGTGGCCAGAGCAGCCCAGAGGTGGCACAGAGGCCTTTGTTGGATGTGACTGCATTTAGCCAAGAGTGCGGCGGATGGTGGGCAGCACGGGAGGGTCTCGTCCCATCAGGCGAGGTGCTTGAGAGAAGGGACTCCGCTGCCCTGAGGAGGAATGAGGCCTCCCGACAGCCTTTGAGCCCCAGGCAGAGGCATCAGCTCCCCAGTCTCTGGAGGCCTTGTCTTGCTGTCCCTGCAACCATGAAAGCTGACCCTTCAACAAACCCTCCACACGCATCCCCACAGCTCCACTTCCTGGGAGCCCTGGTTGGCACAATCCTTCCCCTGTGGCACAGAAGTTAGACATCGTCCAAGACCACCCAGCTGCGAAGAAGCAGAGCTGGGGCCGACAGCCAGAGCAGCTTGAGGTCACCAGTGAGTGGAAGGGGAGACGTCCTGCCAGGGTGGCGCCCTCCGCCCCGTTCTTATCCCCAGCCCTCCTCCCCTTCGCAGCCCAAGGCAGAACAGTGACAGCTCAAGCCCGAGACCAAATCCCTCTAGGCATCTGGGCAGGACTGGCCGGAGCTCAGCAGGCCCAGGTGGCCAGAGTCAGTCACCGTGTCTCCCTACAGGTGTGCCAGGGACTGTCCCCACGTCCCAGCAGGTGCAAGGGCCGCAGGCCTGAGGCACACAGCCTCTCTGCTGGGGCTGCAAGATTCTTTCAATGACACCCTGAGGCAGGGAAGGAAAAGAGAAAGCAAGAAAGGTGGAGAGATGGAGAGAGAGAAGGGAAGACAGAGAGGAAAGAGACAGGGAAAGATTGGAAGAGACAGGGAGAGACAGGGAGACAGGGAGAGGCAGAGAGACAGGGAGAGGCAGGGAGACAGGGAGAGGCAGGGAGAGGCAGGGAGACAGGGAGAGACGGGGAGAGGCAGGGAGAGGGGCTCGTGGAGGAGGGCCGGGGGCGGTCTCAGGAAGGCAGGCCCAGAACCCTCCTCCCTGCCCCACGGGGAACCCTGCTGCCCCTACCTTTCCCTGAACACAGCAGCTTCACCCACACTTCTCACCCTCTGCCCTGGTTTGGACAGTGGGGCTGGCCGGCGCCCACCATCAGGGAGAAAGGGCTACCAGGCAGCCTCCTCCAGGACAGCAGGAAGGACCTGGGGTGCTGAAAGCAGCGGGACCAATCTGCTTCTCCACGGCCTCGGCTGCCGCAGGAGTCGGGGAGGAAGGAAGCCAGAAGCACTGCCTGACCCACAGCCAGCCCAGGCCTGCTCCTCATCTGCCTCAGCTGGGCACCAGGGTCCTGCCTCCCTGCTGGGCACTGTCCTGGGTCCCTGACTTGGACCACACGGCACGTAGGAGACCATGAGGTTGCAAAGAAGGTTAGGGTCAGGGACAGGTGATGAGGGCTAGGGGCTGGGCTTAGACATCCCAGGCGGGGGCTCTGGGATGCGGCGGGGCCAGGTGTCCTCACCAGGTTAGGGTCAGGGCTGTGGTTCCTTGTGCGGGGCTCGAGAGGTGCTCAGAGTTAGTGTCAGGGCTGGGGTTAGGGCTGGAGGTCACTGGGCAAGGGCTCTGGGAGGTGGTTGGGGTAGGGTGTCATCACTAGGTGAAGCCCCCAGTGTAGGTTTGTGGTAGGTCTGTGGCCAGGCCCACACAGGCTCCTGCCTCCTCCTGTGTGACATCTGTGTCACCTCAGGACTCACCAGCAGGAAGGCCACCACAGATGGGGTCCTCGGCCTTGATCCCCAGAGCCGTGGGCCAGAATCGGCCTGTTCTCCGCAGAGCATCCAGCCGTGGGTGCCGCATCATGTGATGACACAGACTGACCCAGTCCTAAGCAGACTCGTGGTCCTTCCTCTCACGGTGAGTGTGACTGTGTGCACACGTGTGTGCACTGGGGGCACAGACTGCGCTCTGGATCACGTCCTGCGAGAGAACCTGGAGGTGTGGCGGGTGATGCGGACAGACAGCCTCTCCCAGGAGGAGGCTGGGAGGCCAGGGCTGCAGCAACTGCCTGGGCAGGGGAGGAAGGGCCTCGAGCAGAGGGAGGGGTGCAGCACAACGGCGACCTGCCTGCCCGAGTCTCCGGTCCCCTAGGGACAACGGCAGCTCCTGAGGGCTGAAGGGACAAGGGGACGCTGTGGGGAGTCTGGCACGGGCCCAGACATCATCGATGCTGGACAGGCACAGCATCGCCATTGTCCGACAGCAGCACTCGAAGCTGGTGGGCCTGGCTGCATCTCATGAGTCCTGATGCCGACTGCAGCACCAGTTAGCGACCTCCCAAGGACCTCGCACCTGCTGAACCCAGCACAGTGCCAGGGAAGGACAGGAAGCCAGTGTGGGGCGGGCGGGGGCCTGCAGAGGAGGCTGTGCCCTGAGGAAGAGGGTCTGGGAAGGGACATGGGGCCTAGGAGACTCCGTCGCTTCAGCTGAGACCGTCTGTGCCCTGCAGCCTCCCGCCCTCATACTTGGCCGTCATCTGGCTCTGACCAGGCCTACCCCTCCTCGACCCCAGCTGTTCCCAGCAGACCCAGTCCTGAGGCACGGGCCTCCACAAAGCCGCTGCAGAGCTCTCAGGGCCCTGAGGGCCTGGACTGG